ATTTTTATTAAATATTTATTTGTTAAAGTTGATGGAATTGAATGAACACAAGTAGTTTTAGTTGAATAAAGATGACTGAAAAGTTTGGATCGTTACTAATTGCATAACCAAAAAAGTACCATATCTGCAAGTAAACCCTTTCCAGGAAAAAACAACCAGAAGCTATATAAAGCTAACATATATACCTTCTGCTTCCTCTTTTCTTTTCTTTTGTCCTCAGTGTCCTGCAACATTTTCTCCTTCCACAGATCAAAGAAGTATGAAGGATTGGTATAAAACTTCAAACCCTCTTTTCCATCATCCCTGAAATACAATGACGCAAACAGGGCATACTATTTATGTGACAAGACATGAATCCAGACATTAAGGCAAAGGAAAGGCATATTAAGGAATACCTAGTATCTCAGACCCTGAAATATTTTACTTAAGAACATTAAAAAGATGAACGTGACCTCCTGTGCCATCATTCTTTACTATCTTTCCTTGTACTCAAGGTCCTGATTTTAGAAAAGTAACTTTAACACAAGCTGTAGATAAAAAAGAGTATCATAAACCAGAGAACTCCCATTCCAATGACTCAAATCTTGCTCTTAAAATAATGAGCAAATTTGTGTGGCTGCTCATGTTCAACTACTGATTCAAATTGACTTTGGGACAGCAAACAACATTCATTTCCATTAAAGACCTTTCTTTTCTACATACTTACCTGCTTATTTTCTTCACTTCGCATCCAAGAGCATTACACAGTTTAATAAATACAGATAATAAAAATGGCTTTTTCTTACCATTGTTACACTGGGGTAAAATTTGAGTAAAGTGGAGTAAATTTTTAACATTTATAATGTCTTCTGCTGCCTATATTCCTCCAGCAGCTTCACAGTTTTCTAGTGTGGCTCCTTAAATATTCAAGTGCTGCTCAACATAAGGAAGGTGCCTGGATATATAGCATCTCTGTTACATAAAATAAGCTAGAAATTGGTTTTGATTAATTTTATTTTACTAACCTGTAAGGGGTGAGAATGTTAAGTGGAGGAGGCTGTTCACAAATGTCATAAGTTTCTTGCAAAGGAATAGGCAGAGTTTTGCGGTCAAACAGCTGTTGATCTTGAATTGTGGAACTCCGGAAAGCTTTCCTCATTGTAATGTCCTGCAGTGACACTGAAAGGGGATATTGCCATTTGAAAAAAACCACCAAAGATAGTTTATTTGGATTAATCTGGAATTGCTTAATGCTGGTTAGAATATAAATATTAAGCATTACTACTAGTATCTTACACATTTTACAGCAAATATAAATTCATCTAGCACTACTGCCACAGCAAGATATTGCCAGATTATGTGAAAAACATGCTTATAATGTTCTAGCACATTATCCTCTATTTAGCTTCACAGGAAATTTTTGCTCACCTGGATAGATATCAGAACTCTGCCTCTGCAAAGTAGTTCAACAAATTGCTTACTGTAGCTATAAAATACCATTCTGTAGTTCAGAAGTACCTAATAACATTTACCAACTCCATTCCACAATCTTTTTGGTACTAAAAAATTACTCTCTATCTTGAGGTATAGATTTTACCTCTGTACTATCAGCAAGCCAAACTTTGCATTCCTTGCACGTAGGCAGCAGTTCCACTGAAGGCCCACTGAGATGCCAAACCAGCAAATCACTTGAGCTTATGCTACTGATATCAGTGAGTTTTAATGGGAGGTGGTACTATGTTCCAACACATGAAACTAGTCAAATGTTTTTTTTTAATCAGATTGTTTAATCAAGATGAGACTTCTCTGTTTAATTCAGGTGGGACACCTTGAGTTTTTAAACACAGTAGTTAGGAATAATCAATTATCTTTATGTAAGATTCAAAGGAAAATAACACTAGGTGAACACAATATATTAAACAGTGATTTGAAATATATTGATTTACTGCTGTTAAAGCCCATATATCTTTTTCTATTTCACAATCATTAAAATTTAGAAAAAGATTAATGGAAAAGTGACCGCAACTGATGAAACTTGCACTTTTAATTCTGGAAACAGCGTACCTGTTCAGTCTCATATTTCTCTCCCCCCCTGATCTTCAGGTACTACATCTGTGAAGTCCAGGTGTGTCTCAAGGCTAACTTTGCAGCCAGCGTTAGATCTTCACTAGATAAAGCAGCAACCCTTTTCACTGGTTTGGGCTTCTTTTTTTTTTTTTTTTTTAAATCACAAACAATACTGAAAACAATTTTAAGACATACTAACAAAGAGAGTATTTTCAGCACATGCATTTTATCTAGAAATAATTATGTTTATTTTATATAAACAAGTTGATAGTAGTGCCCCTTTACGCAAGATGAGAGGACACCTACCCCCCCATATCACTAGGGCCTTCGGCAACAATTTTTTTAAAAGAGTGCATCTGTTTAAGCTGAAAGTTGCGTTTTACTCTGTTTCCTGTAACACGTACAAGTGTACACATACGTATGTACACAAACACACACAGCTGGATTTCTATTGTATTATTACAAAGGGGCAGAAGGCAGGATTTTTTCCAGAGGGCTTGCAATTCCTGGAATGTTCTATCTTCTTACCTAAGCGTATTGGCAGCATCCTTTGTGAGGCTAAAGATGGGATTTACTTTATTTTCAGTTTGGCTTTTGAAGTTTATTAGAGTTGGCAAGGTTGTGTGTTCCTGGATAAGTTTCCTCCTTTTCACCTTTAGGTTCTATTTCATTACAGTATCTTTTATTCTTTTTAATACCTTTAATCAGCTGCTCAGAAGCCTTTTTAAGTATGTGAAAGAAGTATTATAATACATGAATGTCAGCTAGGAGTCTCAGTTTCTGCAGGTATTTTTGCACTCATAAATAACCATATATATTTTGTATCTGTCATGAAGTACAAGTTGTTATTTGCTGGCAAAAGTTCGCAATTAGAAGAACTGGGGTTTATCTCATCTGAAAACCTAGTCTTAGATTCTTTTATACTTCAACTGTTTTTCTTTTGGTGTGTTGGTTTTACAAATCTCACCAAATGTACTTGTTCAGAGATGCTTGGCAATCCTGCAAGTCTTTAAACTGTCTGTCACTTATTGGAGACTATGCCAACAAAAATAAAAGTTAGTATACTTCTCTTTGAACTTGTGTACATTCTGAAGGCAATGAAGTAAATTAATTTATTCCAATAAATACAGTTCTTTGTTTTAATATTAAAATGCTCACAGAGTATGTGACACCGTATTATTGAGACGTACATCATACCTGAGGATAATCAATCAATCCCCAACAATAAGTGCAGATTACTTTCTCTCTAAAACTAAGCTACATAGCAAGGGTCTTCACAGAAAACATACACTGTGGAATTTCAAACAGCTAACAGCATTTCCTGCACTGATACCCAATTCACTGAAAAGCATGCCGTTATTCAAAACAACCGACCGTATTAGGACAACATTACTAAGGAAATTAAAGGACGCAGCACACAAAATACTGAGAATCATGACACTGACACAACTCCCCTACAGACAGGGATCAGGTAAATCCCATGTTGCAAGCACAGCGTAATCCTGGGCTGTGCTCGGTTTGGCTTACAAAGCCATTTGTTTAGCTTGCCAGCTGGCTAAGAAACAGAAGCCCTGCGTGTCTTGCCACCTCAGGGGGGAGAATACGTGAAAACCTGGCTGGTTATCCGGCCACTTAGCTTTGGCTGATTGACAAAACTGGCACAGCAAGAGGACGGGTCAAACAAATTGGACATATGAATTCAGGTGTGAGAAGAGACAAGACACTGAAGGAGGAGTTGGAACTGCTGCAGGTATTTGACTTGATGCTGATAAATTTAAGCTTCCAGTTGCCTAATTCCTAACTAGCACCAGAACCTTCGTATGGCCCAAGATCCTAAATTTCATATGGATACAGAAAGTCCGTCTGCTACACCACTTGTGTTTACTGCAATGAACAAAAACTGGGGTCTTAAATAATTTCCGTAAATGTTGAGATGTTTGCAATTTAAGTTAAACATTCATTCAACAATCTGAACAAATACCAGTTTATCTTTACTGTGTCTGTTGTTTGGATTGTACAAAAAGACCTACTATATCAGCCAGTCTAACCTTCTGTACACCACAATATTTTCCACATAATTAAAAATTATCTCTGTCAGAAAGCTAACTACCAGCCTTTTGTACATTTGGTTTGAAAAAGAAATGCCAATCCATTTTTATTCATAATCAACAATGAACTGGGGAAAAAAAGGTATTTAAATTGCACTCAAATAAGATACAAAAACTGGGTTTCTTTTGGGCTGAACTTCAAAATAAATAAAAGAACACATCAGTAATATACATACATAATAACATTTTACCTCCTGTTAGGCCTCTCATTAAACTGCAATCCCCGATCTGTAGTAAAAGTCAGGTATGGAGCACATCAGCATACCAACAGAAAGTAGCTACTTTTACATTTCAAGGATATTAAATATTACATTTTATTTTACCTTACTAGAAGAAAAAAACCTGTTACTAGATTTTTTAATTCTTTTAAACTCACTCCGATGTACAATTTATGAAGAGGTTCTAGGCCAAAAATACCATTCTCCTGAAGGTGGTAAATAAATAAATAATATACATTCCTTTTAAAAGCTTGCTCTCTCAACGCTTTCTGCAGAATTTCATCCTGACAACTTTTAAGACCCTGAACTCTCGAATGCCACAGCGATGACTCCTTGCACAACTGAATGACTATGGGAAATTATATACAAATCAATAACTCAGTTGCCCACAATTCCCTTTCTCTGTTCAAAATCTTACCCAGCCATTTGAAAAGTGCAGTGAAGAAAGAATGACAACATCGAATGAACAACTTAGTCATGAGATTCCAATTAAAGGTAATTAATTGGGGGGGGTGTTGAAAATTCTCTTCAGATAAAGATTTGTGTGATTCAGTTCCTAAAGATGCTGCAATCTTGAAGTCTGATTTCTACTTTATATATTTTATTTTTTAAATGATTATACACTTCAACAACGCCTAGAATCGCACACATATTAGGTTTCTCTGCTGGTCAGGAATACTTCTGACTGGTCACCGCAGGTTTAGTAGTTGCTAAGCAGAGAGACTACTTCGGCAGAAAAGAAACTATTCTCCTTTGGGCTTGACCCCAACACAAGAAATTCAAATTTTCTGAAATACTGATTTAAAAAAAATCCAAAACAGCTCAAGCACTCTTTGGATAGGGAATGTATGTAGCTTAACTACTACACGTAAACAAAGAGAAGATGTAAATGTTAGAGTAATCATTTTAAGAAGACTCAAAAGCTGCTTTAAATGCAGTGTGTAGAACCAGGGAGCCCCAAGCAGCCTGTTAGGGAAGATGTGAATCACCCAGCTGCATCAAGCAGTGAATCTTCTGGCGAGTCTCAACAAACCCAACACATTATTTAGCAAATGACATTTTGTCCCGATCCCTCTTTTTATATACAAAATACAAATTACGCAATATCATGGCTTTACCACTGAACTATTAAGCCTTGGACACACTAATTTAAAAACTGATTTACTTACTAAATAACCCATGAATTGAATTGAGGGCTAAGAAAATTGGAAGAAAAAGCACAGAGAGCAGTTAGAGCTCAGCCCATCTGCTCAGATCTTTGAGAGGGAGACGCACTCAAATCCAACACTCAGTTAAGTGGAAATGCGGCAGGAAAAGTGACCTGCTATATAATTTAATTTAACAGATTTTTCTTTATTTTACTTGGCGGTAAAAATACTTATGAATGAATTGACAACAGTGTTGTTCTCCACATTAACATATTACACGTGGAGGTCATGACTCAATTTTCATGTGCTCCCTTTTCTTCAATTACATTTATACTCAAGTCACCAAATTCCTCTTCAGAGGCTAGAGACGGTGAGTGAGCTGCCCCTTAAAATGGGATTTACCACCCTTTCTTCTAAGTCTCACAATGGGCTGAGTATCCTGATTTGAAAGTTGACCGAGTCTCCCATTTTCAAAGTATACAGACCACAATTAGCTGTCAAGCTTTTTAGGTTTCTCCCCACCAGATGCCTCCTTTTTTGCCTATAGCAAAGCCTCAAATCTCTCCTTAGCATCAACCCAGCAAAACTTCTGAACTACTATCCTTCCTATGACAGGGCAGTATTTCTAGAATGTTTAGAAAAAACCAAGCACATGTATTCAAGGCCAGAAACCTACTGAAATACAATTCACAACATTGTTTGATTCCTTTCCTGAAGTATGCCAGGCTGCTTACCCATAGCACTTCTGCCACTAAGTTTTTTAAGTAGCTTGTCACAGTTGTAACAGATATGCTGTAGAAATCAAGAATTTGATACACTGCCTTTGAGATTAAAATCCTCTCCAGTTTGAGATTTAAATAAAATTAGGCAGTTCATATTAAAGAACCACTAAATTAATACCAAAATATGCAGATAAACTCTTAGTTTATGAATTCCCCTTCTGCCATGATACCATTTCTTTCTGAAAGATACACAACTATCTTCTAATACTCCATTACACTATACATCAGAGCTGTACTGTGTATCAGCATTTCAAAAAAGAACATAAAAACTGAAATTAATATTCTTTTAAAACCTTTCATTTCTACAGATATGAAATTATTTACTTGTGGTAGTACTTCAAGCTTATTAGCACAAATAAATTCACAAAAATGTGGTAAATTAACAAAAATCTATTATTATACTTATAAAATTTTCATACATATGGAAAAAGTTAGTAGTGTTATATAGTAGTGATATTATAAAGTAAATACTTAAATTAAAAATGGTTGCAAAGAAACTACACTCTTAGGGTTTATTTTCTGACCTATGAGGATATCTTATATTGCAGGGCTACTGAAACCGTCAACCTTAGTTCACCTCCATAGCAAGAATGTGTTTTCCCAGTCCTAAAAAAAACCCCAGATATGATACCTCTTGAATACATACAGGCTAGTTTCCCATACAATTGAAATAAACTTCAGTTTACTGAAGGAAAGAAGGGGATTTATTTTTATCTGTATGCAAGTTTAGTATCTCTTTTGAGGGGAAAAAACCCGCATATGTGTAAAAAGAATAAAGTATGTAAAAAAATCAATTACAATATGAAATTAATAATTCTGTGAAATTAAGAATTTGAAAACAGTGCAATAATTCAAAACAAACCAAGTTCACAGCAATTCTTCTGCGACAGAAAGATTGTGCACCAGGAATTAGTTCCTTCAGGATACAATCCTAACCTTGGTTTCATTTGGTTTTATTCCTTCACAGAGATATTGTAATAATTCAAAATGATGAAACACACAGACTATTCAAAAAATTCAGAGCTTTTTAGTAGTTTGACTCTACCAGAAACATCTTGTCAAGTACCTGCTTCTTGTTCAATGAATCTGACTTGGGCTGTTTTTGTTCATGCCACTTAGCTTTAAATTAATCTTAATTTCTTCCTCTTGTGTAATAGCATGGGCCCAAAGGAACATATTAAATCTTCTATTACTGCCTGCTGGCAAAGAACTAGCAAATGACACTCAATTTACAAGTATAGCCCATTTTACACATGCTGTTAGCTGAACAGAAGTACTGAAATTTGCTTGATTCTTGCAGGTTAAGGGTTAAGAAAGGCAAGACAGGTAAATCCATATGTTTTCCTCACACCTTCATGTGTTAACATCCTCCAGCTATTTTAGCCCAGACCAGGACTAAACCAAAACTATTTGAGATGAACTTCTAAATTTCAAGCACAAAATAGGATACTGAAGGAGAAACAGTTTCCTGATGCCTAATTTTTAAGGAAATACAATATAGAATTTCCTCTCATCTCCTTTGTCCTCATCTGGTGACTCATTCTGGGCAGACATTTGTGAATAAGGAACACTGGATATGGCTCAAGGACTGGGTATTCTTAGGTTAATAAAAATAGTCATTTAATAGTTCCTGACAGTGAAGACTGCATGTGTTCCTCTGAAGTACTAGCAGCCACTGCTATTCTACGGTGTGAGAGACAAATCCAGGGTATCAGATTCGAGTCACACTTAGCCACTCTGGACTTGAGTAAGTAGACCTCTTTTCAGCCCTGTTTTCTTTAATTGCGGTGTCTGTCCCTTTCTTTAGCTATACAGTTTAGCAAATGCTACAGTATACACAGTACTGTGAAAAGTTATTGATCTGGTGCATTTGGGACTACACACCATTCAAAAATATTTCTAGCAATTTTCTAACACCAAATAGTTACGGATATTTAGTACTGAAACCTACAGCTAAAATTGTCAAAGGCCATTTACACAGGAAAGTACAATTTTCCATCTTGCTATCCTGTAACATCCTTAGATGCTTTAACTCAATGACTTAAAATGGTCTCTCCATTTTCCTGAAATGTGAATGGTTGCCATACTAGATATGCCATATCAACATATATCCCACCCTGATTTAACCTAAAAACTAGGCTGTCAAGAGTAAATGCAGAAATGACATTACCACTCTGGAGTATCACAACTCTTACAAGATTACAATTGCTGACAATTTGTTGCTGTACACAGAAAGGATTTTTGACATTATCCAATCATAGTAAACATGGTATTTTATTGGAAGAAGAGGTGTATGTGTACAATTTATGCTCAGTTGTCAAGACACTTGGAAAATCCCATTAATGTAAGAATTCCTCCAGGCAAGTCACGATTCCATGGAAAATCTGCTGCTAGCTGTGAACAGCTGTCTTTCAAAACCTGCTCTAAAATTAATGTCACGCAAAATACAGAATCAAAACTTCCTTAGCTTAATTTTGCTGTTAGTGAAATTTCGACATTGGTAACTAAACACAGCCTGAAGACCACGCTCCTGGTTTGACACTTCATTTTTTCCTGAATGACACACAACTATTATACCTAGACATTCATAGCTGAAACAGCTTTCTGTACTTTAAAATTGGACCCCCCAAGCAATCTGAAGTTACTTTTCATGATAGGATGTTGCTAGTAAAGCCATATAGTCTAGAACACCCTAAAACTGTTTGGGTTACAAGACCTTTCATAGTTCCACCTGTATCAACAGATATCCAGGAAGGCAAAAAAGCTTCCTGGCATTTACATATTAGGTCATCAATGTTCCTGCAGTCATCACAAAGCCTATGCATCATTTAAATACCAAACAAATTCTATCTTATAAGCATGACTTTTGGAAGTACTTGTTTTCTCAGTGCTAACCAATATTTATAGTACTTAAAGCTATTTACGAAGAATCCAAGGGGATATATAGCATCAACAAATAGAGCTATACAATTGTAACTTCATACAGAAAGTAAGATGGTAACAAGTTAAATGCAAAAACTCTACTTGGACAAATGGTTACATCCCATGGGAATTAGTAGGAAGGTTAAAAAAAAAGAGTAAAAACTTATCTCCAAGCATTCACATAATATACAAATTATTAATATTATTAACACTAATACATAATATTACTGAAGTGACACATACTTGTGTAGCAGTTTTTATGTAAATTCATTGGTAACAGTACTGTTCAGTAACCATGAAAATCTTGAGCTCAGAAAGCTGCTCAAGGCTATGAAAGAAACCTGTAGCAGAAATAGAAATGGACCTCCTTCTCATGATGCTCTGCTCTGTGTTTTTATAAATATAATTTAAACTATTATTATTTCCATTTCACATTATCAATCGTGTATGGGTGACAAAACAAGAAATCTTCAATGCAGGAGTTAACTTACATTCCTCTTCCTTTGGATCAAGTTGTGTAACACTGACAGATAAGCGATCTACACGTTCTTGTAAGGAGTTGACTCTAAATGAGAAACTGTGTGCTTCATTGAAAAGTTCACCAAATATATCTTCAGCATATTTACCTGAAATACGAGGGGGGAAAAAAAAAAAAAATTCAAGCATACCACAAGACAGCCAAATGCGTTTGCCTTGAAAAAAATTTCTAACTGTTGTTTAAGTAAGTAAATCTAAGATGCATGAGTATCACTTGTAACAACCTGTACTTACTGAGCTCATTAAGAATGTTTCAGAAAAGTAAATAAAAGTTAAATACTTAATTTGTAATTTATTTATCAGAAATGAAATTATTCAATACATTACAGGACAGATATTCAGCTGGTATAAATTGATTTAACTATGCTGATATGCAAGGAACTAGACTGATTACTTTCTTGGACATGTATAGAAGGACGATTTCCAGCATCTGAAACTGCTCCTGTATGAGCAATAACTAATCTTTCCAAGGGAAATTTATCTCAACATTTCTCCAAAAGAAGCACAGCTTGCACTCCTACTGTACAGAGGACCTTTCAAAAACAGAAGATCAGATATTTACATCTAGGTTAATTAGAACCAGCCTCTTCAAAAATACACACTAAAATAATAAATCCTACTTTGAAGGATCAAAATTCTAGTAACTGACCAATTTATACTGAAGAAAAAGAAGAATCTCCTTTGTTCACTTCAATGGACATCACACATTTAGCCCAAAAGAACAGAAGATTCAAGTATCATGAGAAAAGAATCAGTAATGAGTTTCTCTTCTACAGACAGAGTACTCCATATAGTGCTTCTAATGCCCCCCGGACTCAACTTGAGTAGTCTGCCAATGCCACTGAAAAAAACCACCAGACTGCCTAGCAAAATTTGTAGCCACGTTTGTGAAATACCACATGATAGCTTTTAAAACTTTCTACCATACTGTGCATATGTAATTTGTGTACTGTTTGTACACTTACGTTGGTTTTGGATGTATAAATCTCACAAATTTCTAACTACCTGGTTCTGAAAGGTACAATAGGAAAGTTATGAAAATTTTACCTTTGGTGAACAATACATCTGGAAGTATACACAAAAATGAGGACATTTTTAAACAAACGCATCAAAAGGACAAAAATTAAATCCCTACAGGTACTGTGGAAACTACTTAAAAATACTATGTAGTAAGCACAAGACCAGCGCATACCATTTATTAAGACAGGTAAAGGCAACAGAAAACCAGCACGACTATAAACAACAGAATATAAAAGGGGATATCAGAAGAAATGTACAGATAAATAGAAAGGATCATAAATTCTGGCGTATTAAACATAAAAACCAAAAACTAGCCTGAGGAACAACTAGCAAACTAATAATAAATATTCCTTCAAAGATGTGAGGAAGAAGAAAGCCTGCCAGAGAGTCTGTAGAGCCAACTGGTAATGAAGGTATAAAGGAGTACTCAGAGAAGACAAGACCCCTGTGGACAAGCTAATTTAACACTTTCCACTGGTGTTCGGTGAAAGAAACTGGAGAGACCCTCATGCCAGAACTCTTCTTTGCGGGAAGCTGAAAGAAACTGAAGGAACTATATAAAAATTACAAAACTAAATCAACAAAACGACTAGTAAAGTATTAGAATCATAGACTCATAGAATCGTTTAG